GAACGACGAGCGTGATAACGCGATGCTTGTGATTAGCGGAACTCTCACTTCGCACCTGATCGAAAGAGCCAGGTGAAAGATAAATTTCACACGATCGCTCCGCGATCGGTTTCTCCTCGTCCTGGCGCTCGCCGGTGAATAAAGATCGGGCGAGAAATCGAAAAATCAGGACGCGGAAAAAAAAAAAAAAGTAGAAATCGTTACTCGCCACTTCGTAAGCTAATCGGGAATGAAATATTCAAAGGACGAAACGACGTGAATTATCGATACGCTTCATCGACCAAGTCGCACGTAATGGTGAGCCAGTGTGTGTGAAAATCGTATGAATATCTAGCGAATTGACACACTTCTTCTTCGGTGGCGACGAATATAGACAGATTCGGTCGAAATCAAATATTCCTCGTACAATTTAAAATTAGATTCGTCGTTTAATCGTTAAAGAGGAGAGACTTTCAAATGTTGCATTGATTAATTTTTGTACTTTACACGGTATCTTGCAACGTGAAAATGAAAAGGAGAGAGATACGACAAGCACGGCTGATTTTAATCTCATTTCATGATTAAAAGGAAATGTTTCGAATACGAAGTAGCTGATGGTGAAAGGAAGATAGCGAATATGTAACTTGTACGAAGGGAGATAATATTTTAGAGATTGTAAAGAAAATAATAAAAATAGAGGCGAATTAAATGATATGGAATAATTCTGGTAACGTGGAATTAATTGGCAAAGTACAGCTCATCTATAAAAAGCAGAAAATCTTCGTAAACCTACATTTCGTAGTAGAACACGTAGCGATGATAAAATGTGAGACAGGAAAGTGTAATAGTTATTCACATACGTTGTTCTCGCGAAACTAAAGTTGTCGATACAATTTCTATTTTGATATCGTAGGCAATCTAATGATAATTGAAAATATTGCGCGAGATTGGCTGGTTTCTCGTTACGATCTATTTGCGATTTTATTGCAATGCATTTTGTAGTTTTCATCTTGTCGATGAAAACCTTTAATGAATATTAATCACACGAATACTTCCGCGTTTGCCTAATCAAATATTAAAATTTCACTTTACGTAAGAAACTGTAGTATTTATTACGCCATTAATTGCGAGGAATTCAAATTCAAAGCGAAATCTCAAAGTATGTGAAATACTTTGTATTTTTCGTTTAATAATTTTCGTAATTGTCCAAGAGCAAAAATATAATTCATTAAAATAAATTGTTTAATTGAATGATTATTAAATTCAACGAGTTAATTTAAATTAAATAAAGAAATTTTAAAGAAAATAAACCAGCATGAAAATATACAAGTCAGTAATTATATGTTAATAGGCAAATTTGTGGTAACTCGGGAAACGAAATAAGTTATTAAGCGAACCTTGAACATTCAATTACGAATATTCTTCCGGCAGGCCTCTGACAAGCAATGAAACAATAAGGGACAGTAGAGGGAAGTTCAGTCACGAACTTGATTAAAGACAATGCGAATGGATCCGTGGCTCTTGACCTCGGCAATTTCAAAGGTAGTGGTATCTCGGCAGATTCGACGAGAAGGTTGTAGATGAGTTTAGAGAGTACAGTGTGAAGTTGTAAACTACGGTCACACGGGATAATCATGAAGACCAAGTTATTTAGAGATCTCCCACACTTTCACCGACTAATGATGAATACAAGGACAAAGAGACAGGAATGGAGTCGTGATTTTGTTAACATTCCACTGCTACAATTTTCGGAACCTACAGAGCTAGAACTTTTCAATTAATTCTCCCTAGTATATGCAGTTGAAATAATGCAGACAATTTTATGCAAGAGAAAAATAAAAATTATTCCTACAGACCATAGGAATCTAATGATACACTTGAAATTTTATCTATATGTCATTAAAATGCAATGTCTTACTAGATATGTACATTACAATCTATATTTGAAATTCTAATACAAATATCAAGTCTTCAGATATTTTCTTCTTTTGGAATACTCTGTTCGAAACATAAAAATTGTATTGAATAGTAAAACCAAATGTGATAGTATCTATTGGGACATTACATAGACCCAAAGAGAACAGCAGAATTAAATGCAAGTATTACAGTCCTAAATATTACACTACATATGATCAATGTAAGAGATAAGAGAGATAAAAATAAAAAATTAAAATAACTTCAAGTTAAAACGGCATGGCATAAACTGTAACACTTGGCGATGCTCTTGGGGTTCTCGCGCGAAGGTTGAAAGCTTTAAACTGAAATATAAACGTCACACTATTTACAGCACCAATCTCGGGTAGCTATTTACCACCATCAACAAGTTATGGAACACCAAACTTAGGAGGCGGTGGCCCATCCTCGAACTATGGTGCACCGTCCAACGGTGGTGGTCGCCCCTCTTCAAGCTATGGCGCACCACCATCCAGTAACTATGGTGCACCACCATCTAGTAACTACGGTGCTCCACCATCTAGTAACTATGGTGCTCCACCATCCAGTAACTACGGTGCTCCGCCATCCAGTAATTATGGCGCACCATCTGGTGGAAGACCATCTAGCAGCTACGGAGCACCTTCGAACGGTGGTGGCAGACCGTCTTCGAGCTACGGTGCACCATCGGGTGGCGGTGGAAGACCATCCAGTACTTACGGCGCTCCTGGAGGCGGTGGTGGCTTCGGTGGTGGTTTCGGCGGTGGAATCTCGTCAAGCTACGGCGCACCATCACGCGGATCATCGATATCAGCAAGCTACTCAGCACCCATTTCTGGAGGCGGTGGTATCTCCAGCAGTTACGGCGCGCCAACCGGAGGCGGCGGTGGTGGATACTCGAGACCATCATCGACTTACGGTACACCTAGCACCGGTGGTGGCAGTTTCGGAGGGTAAAACATTTTTTTTTTTACAATATTTTTTTTCTTTCTTCGCTACTTGGACAAAACAGTGAATAGTCTAGAACGAGCACGACACATATTGCACGTATAGAACCTACTGTAGTTCTCGAATTTCTTTCCTCTTAAAAAAAAAAAAAAAAAAAAAAACACTTTATATCTGAATTGAGAACGGTTTAAAGAACGCAACCGGGGTTAAGAAGACGAACTTTAATCAGACTTTATTCGAAAAGTCTGTTCCTCATTCCCGCTCAGGGCAACAAATTCAACGATTCAGGTAATTGAAACAGCTAAATTTGATTTCAGTTCCGGTGGATATTCTGGAGGCGGAGGTGGATACTCTGGAGGCGGTGGTGGCTACTCTGGAGGTGGAAACGGTGGATACTCCGGCGGCGGCGGCGGCGGATACTCGGGCGGTGGTGGCGGCTATTCCGGCGGCGGTGGAAACGGAGGCTACTCCGGCGGGGGCGGTGGTGGCTACTCTGGAGGCGGCGGAGGTGGTTACTCTGGAGGCGGTGGTGGCTACTCTGGAGGAGGCGGGGGTGGTTACTCTGGAGGAGGTGGTGGTTATTCCGGAGGTGGCGGCGGCTACTCCGGTGGCGGCGGTGGTGGCTACTCCGGTGGTGGCGGCGGTGGCGGATACTCAGGCGGCGGCGGTGGCTACTCCGGCGGCGGTGGAGGCGGTGGAGGCGGTCAGAGCTACGCTAGCAACGGAGGTTACCAATATTAATCGTAAAAAGTCTTCATCTCGCGCGACGACGACCTTCGACCATGTTTCACCATCGATCATCGACCACCATCGAACGAGTCGAACGAGTTTAAACGCATCGACGTCCCCCGCGTCACGGTCCAAACGCAACAACGTCGTTCGCGGCGGTGAGCTTGCAATTAGTCAGACGAATAAAGGAACATCAGCCGACGAGACGGGAAGGAACGAAGCGGAATCGGAGGTCATTCTCGCGAATCTGAAATCAGCAGCATCCCCGAAGCATCCAGGATCCTCATTAAAAGTTTAACAGAGAGACGCGGTGCGACAAGGCCGCCGACTTGGCGAATAATTGCAGTGTGTTAATTGCGGCAGGCGTATTTCTGAAAGCAGACAGAAGAAGGAAAGGGTGGACGAGAAACCGAGATCTAGAAGATTCAACAGTGCAGCCTTTTGCTTACCTTTCCTTCTCGCTTGCTGTTAGGAAGCCGTCTGCTGGTCATATCAACCATCGAAATCCATTCGAAAGGAGCGAATTTCGTACGGCGCGAAGGTCTGCGAGAGAAAAAAATTGGGAAAATTGGAGGAGGAGAAGGAAAGAGAAAAAGAAGACACGAAGAAGAATTCGTTCCTCGTTCAGAGCCTGTAACTTATTTATTTTGTAAAAATATGCTTTTTGTACTAATAAAGCCGCTACGCTGGAAAAAGAAACGTAATCGTGGATGGAAGTTCATTGCGACACGACCTACCCACCTTTGCTAGCTAGAAAAACCCACGGTTTATATATGTAACGTGTAAGACGATTGAGCTCGTCGTAGGGTTAGTTGGGCGGCGTAGTCGGTCGGTCGATTTATCGATTCCCTAACTCGAATACCGGGAAGGCATGAATAAGTAAGAGCTCTTTCTATTTCTGTCGTAACCTAGCTAAAAACGCGTATCAATATCGGGACCCGAAGCTCCTACGTCGGTTCGCTCGAATTATAACAAAAAGTCATGTGTGTCCTGACCTATTTGCCGCTCCCTCTCTGAAATAGACGATCAACGGTTGGATAATTCGCACAATTCCGAAGAGTTTAGGCCCCTTTCCTTTAAAAAGAAAAAAAAAGGCAAAGATATCCTGGGGATCTTTCTGAAAAATAAAAATAAAATCAACAATCATACTGAGGAATACTTTGCAGGAAATTTAAAAGTATCCCCGCGTGCGTTTTACTTTTTCCAATTCACGAAAATATAAAACAAATGGTAAGAGTATAAAATTTGCATAGATAATCTAAAATAGGGCCTTTCTCTTCACTTCGCCTCCCAGAGGAATCCCGGTCCAGAATAAGAGAATTGCAACAGATCTGGATTTTTCGTACACTTTTTATTTTTAACATTTACAATCAACATCGCGTTCAGTTTTTTTTTTTTTTTCAATTATACACGTATAATATGTCGTATAATACAGTACCGGTAACGCTTTCGTAATACATATACATGGATATGCTCTTACGGGGTAAGTCGGGCATTTTTCCTTTTTTTCTTTTTCTTTTTTTTTTTTCTTTTTGTTTTGTTTTTACACATAATAATACTCTATGATAGGTAGGCGTCCCAGGCTCGCGAGATGGGACGAAAGTTACAGTAACATTAGGTACGCGATTCCGTTATTCAAAGCAGGCGAGTAGTTGTAGAACGTTGCGTTCCTCGTGACGCTGGATATTATTATTATTTATTATTTAACGAGTTCGCATCACCAACCAGCTTCATTGAACCTCTCGTGTTCGGCGTTCAGCCAGCCTATCGTACGCATAGTTATTTACTTTTTTCCTCTATTTTATTTTCTTTTTTTTTTTTCCTTTTTGAATTTTTTTCTCGGCTTTTTATTTCGCTCGCTCTCTTCTCCGGGCAGATCGCTGGGAGTAGCGACACTCGAAAATTAAGGAGAAATTAGGGAGACACTCGTTTGCTCGCAGAAAATGGAGAGGGTCTCCCTAATTCTGTGGAGCTATGAACCCATCGATCCCTTTTTGCAAGAGGATAACCACGCTATATATATTTATATATATATATGTATGTATTTAGTACGTATATACATGTCTTATATATTGTATTTTTCTTCATCTTACACGCTAATGTACCTAATACAAGTATGTAGAGCACGTATCGTGATATGTATAGGTTGTCCGTTTACGTCGTTGATTACAATACGTAGTAACTGATATGTATGTAACCGTGGTTGTTCCATAATCAACACTTAAACGCCACTAAGAAATATGTCGGATCTTATCGTATGGATTCATCTACGCAACAATATTCTTCCCTCTTTCCACTTATACGATACGTCATCTAGATATCCGGGACGAGTTGATCAACGAAACAATACGGCGTTGTTTAACCTGTCAACTCGAGGGAGAGATCCTTTTTGTTTGGTTTGAAACTTTCTTTATTTAGAAGACACACGACGGGGAGATGACATCGGGCAACTTTTACAGCGTGAAGAAACAAAGTAAACGTGACTGGTAATTTCGATTAAAAGCAGATTCATCTGTCGCGTTTAACTTGAGACACTACCGAGAAAATCATTTCAACAACAATCTCAAAAGTATAATTGATACCCTCGTTTAGCAGAGATTAAGTAGCAAGCATCTCCTTTGTTTCCTTCGGTTTCGTATTGAGCACTCGTGTACACGTCAGGTAGAGAAGTCTTTCAACAACGATTATTAACTTGAAACCGAGCAGCCAGCTACGATCTTGGGATTTTTCTTTATCTCTTTGCTGGCTCTTGCCCGGCTAATTGTTCCTTTAGTCTATGCAACGTGCAATTTCAATCGTCTACAGAGACGTGCGTCGCGATCGTACGATTCTGCCTCTGGTCGTAAAAGGAAGATAGCAGCTATAAAACGTAATAACGTCAATTCCGCCATCCGCAGCTCGAGCAGCTTGACTTAACCAGCCAACTCATCGCTCAGACTTGATCGCCGAGTGAAAGTCTTCTGTCTGTTAATGGCAACGAAAACACACGGAAGATGTGCCTGTGTGTACTCTCGCAGGAAACATTCGTTTCTCTCTGTCTGTCATTTGTCTAGGTGTAATTTCACCTGCGCGCTCGTCGTGCAAAGACGCCTCGCTTAACAAGCGGCGCGTCTCATGCACTGGCGCACGCTAAAAAGCTACTTCCGTCCGGAACTGACGTCGTTCCTCCGCGGCAGAAAAGGAGATTCTTCCCGCAGAGTCGACAGGTTAAACGAATAATAATCTCACGAGCGCGTTGCTTCTCGTTTCATTCTCGGTCGGCACGACATTGTGTATGTAAAACGGTGGCGTCTCGACCAAGCTTGTCAATGAATTATTCTAAACACAGGAAACGGTGAATGACGAACGTGAATTTACTCAACTCCCCTT